GAATTAGATAAGCTTATTAAATATGTGCAGACATTAAAATTAAAATTCAAGCAGAAGAAATCATGAGGGCAATAAGGTGGATAAGCTATCTTGTTCTTTCGAGTAATCTTTGTTGTGATTGGATCCCTCACAGCTGGCTTCAGAGCATACTCAGCTTGGCTCTTCCAAATTCCAGGGGCTCCAGGCTGCTCAGCAAGATCTGCAACTCCACAGTCTTGTGGAGCTGCACCTTCAGCACAGGCACCTTTCCAGCCTGATCTGCCCTTGTTCCCCTGTGTGTGTGCACAGAACACACCATGGAAGAGAACAGCAGCAGGGGCCTGTGTGTCCCAGGGCCTGGGATTTGCGCTGCTTCAGCTCCACAGAGATGCAGGTAACGGGGAGAAACCAAACTGTTTATTAATGGAAGGGAAAGGGAAGGGATGAGATGGGGGCAAAAAGAGGGGATGGGCAGGGTCTGAGGGTTGCAGGGAGGGAGCTGTCAACAGGGAGGGGGAAGGCAGCAGCTATGGGAGCTGGAAGCAGGCACAGCTGTGGCCAGCATCAGGTGTGCCTGGAGCTCTGGTGACATGGAGTCCTGGTGCTCTCTTCACTGTCTCCTGGTACTCTGCTTGGGACCCTGGTTCTCTGAATCCAGCAGATGACCTTAGTTCTGCACATCTTTGTCCAAACATTGTCTGGATTTCCAGGAGAGTGGAGGATGGGCTGTCATCTTCGCTCATGGCTTCAAGGGCTGGAAGACAGATAAACTAGCACAGTCAGAGCCCTGAGGACCACCCGGCGATTCTTCTGCTAAGGCCATCTCTCCCAGCTCTCACCATGCCTAACAGAGATGAGAACCCAAGGGGATCAGCCGCAAGGCGCTGGTCACAAATCTCCCTCTGGCGTCCCTGAAATCTCTCTGTGCCCTGCCCACACCAGCCCTGGTCCACACAAGGAGCGCAGCTGGCCGCAGCCGGGACAGGGATTGCAGCTCCCTGGGCGGCATTGCAGCTCCCCCGGCAGCCCCTGCTGACAGCCCCTGCCCCGACTCACCCTGAGTGAGAAGGTGAAGCTCTGCTGGCTGTCCCC